GCCTTAATTTTTAAAAATAATCTATGTAAGGGAACATCCCCACAAAATATGGCCTTATATGGTACAGTACCTCCATTTTAGGATCCTGGAATTCCCATGGAAATAAGGGTCAGATTCCAATACGTGCAGATCTCGGCATTTTTTCAGTGTCTGACCAACTCGCCATTTTTGTTTGGTTGCCACATTTTGACCAAGACAAGACTTTTCAAACTGCGCGCAGTTGCCGCCGGAAAAGGTAAAGCATAGCCACCTCGCAACCACCTCACCGTAAGGAATATCATCCCCAGAAAATTGGTCCCTTTTCCTGTATATGATCAGAAGGTTGCCCAGGTATGTAGTGATAACCAAGGTATATCATGGTATATCCCCATATATCCCCATATTTTGGCAGCCAAAAAATACATGTTTTCTCATAAACATGCCTTTTTCTGGCTTCATCCGTGAGGCTTCCCTATCCTCTGGACCAAGCGACCCGGCAGACTCTCGCATGCCGCATGGGTCTGCTGCCAAGACATCGGCATTTCTCAGCCAATGGAAAATCAGCGGTGCATTTCCCAGTGGATGAGCTGAGCCCAGAGGATACCACAGGGCTCATATTTTCATATATTTTCTGGTTGCTGGTTTCAAACCATATTTTTTACTTTCCAAAGATTAATTAGATGATTTAGATGGTCATATATGGTCATCCTTCCCATTGACGAACTCATATTTTTCAAGATGGTTAAAACTTAAAACCATCAACCAGTTTTTGCTTTCACTTTGTGGAAATGCCAAGGCCCACTGCCTCCAAAGTCCCCGCGGCACAGTTCGACACCGAGGCCCCCTTTGGGGTTAGCGGGGGTCCAGAATGGATCATTATGGATTATCCCACTTAGTAAGTGATTGGTAACCATAGTTATAATATATTGCTATAAGATGTTATACCGTAACCCGGTTATAGATGTGCGAATCATTTCGACATGATATTTTAGAACGATGTAAAAACATGTAAAAACAATACCAGGCCATGTAAAACACTGTAAGATCATAGAAGACCACATAAATCCAACACTTCGAAGTCCCACATCTGTCGCAGGCGATATCCCATGACGAGTTACCACGACGACGACCTGGGCTGACGTCCATGGGCTCCTGCAACATCCTTTGCGAGGAGGAGCCACCGGTGCCAAACCTTGGTGTGTCGTTGTTCCCGGTAAGGGCGCTGGGGGGAAGGGGGATGGGGAGCGGGGGGGTTGACGGACAAAACTGGAAAAACATCGAGGATCTGATATCCTTCAAAGAGCCAACCAGATATAAAGATTGATGAAGATTGTAAATGTTCCGCGCTGCATATGCATATCAGCTGCATTGCATGGCGGTGCAGTGCTGGTTTTCGATGTAGGAAATTCCGGACATCGGTTTTACTGATATATCATAGCATACCTCGTTAGATCAGATCATGAAGGTTTTCTTCGTTCCAAGCCCACTTGTTTTATGGAACCCCTGATTTTTATCGAGGGGGATTTGCCTACATGAATGGTTTGTTTTTAATGTTGATTATTCCATTGGCCAGATTCTGTTTTACATTCATTTTTGAATGTTCCCCTGTTTTCAAAGGATGGATTTTCCAGCTAGCCATGTTAAACTACCAGAGGATAGACAGATGCTTTGTGGCTTTGATTGCGGAAGTGTGCCAGTGCCATGATGACCTGCCTTTCCAGGTGCCTCCCTTGCCGTTTGCAAATGCAGGGCCAGCGAAGAAAGCGAGGAAACCGGTTGGTTGCTTGGGATCTGTGCTTTGCTACTCCAGATCTATGAAAAAATGGGCCCACTCCAAAAAAGGGTACCCGGGTACCCCAATTTATGGTATTTAATGATGGGCTGCTGGATCATCATTTTCCATATTGACATGGCCTGAATGGGAGTATCTTCAATGTCTGGCCGGACCCACAGACCTTCCCAACGGAGGCACGGTAATATAACACACACACACATTCTCAGCTTGCGACAATACCCCCAAACGGGTCCCCCATAAAACGTAGGGAACATGATGATAAAACAATTCATTTACACATATGAAGTTACCTACAATTAATTATCACCAAGTGTCTTTTCCAACAGAAGGCCTTAGAGAATGGTAACTGGGACGCAGGATGCCCATGGTGAACCCCCCGAGCTTGGAGGCATGATGGATGGTGATTGGAATCGGATTGGGGCTAGCCAAGAATGGTGGGCCAGAGATTTCAGGTTGGTGAATTATTGAAATTTATCCATGGTAGACACATATAATTTGTGGCGTTTATAACGGTGGCTTTCTGATTTCTAATGATTGGGATGAAGTTTGGGAGAACAGACCAGACCGTTTCTGCACAGATCCGTTTTCGGTAGATATGGGTAGCAACAAAAAGTCAACATGTCAATATGGGATGTGCTCAATTCTGCTATATTATGCTATGATATGCTATGTTTTTGTTTGGTAAGTTGTTCTGCCATATCATGCTATGAAGTTGCACAATTTTTGGGCATCCTGCGATTTGAAACCACCAAATTTCAAACACCCAAGCACTGGCGTAATGGCGTAATGTTGTAAATCCAATGCCAAAACCAAAACATCCCCCATTTACCCAATTTCATATGGTATATATAAGTATTGTCACAATACGGGTTCATACTGAATCAATCAGTTAATTAGTTAGTTTCTGCATAACATTAACATATACTCACGTCGTTCATTTTATTCATTTAACTCACCCAAACACATAGTTTTGGGTTTACGACTTGGATGGCCCCAGTTACTAAGTGGCCACTATTTGGTCATATGCAGGTTTTACCATTATGCATTGTTACGCATGCCTTATTAACCACTTACTTACTATTCTGAGGATGATCCCATTAAGAGGTCAGTCACCGGGGTTCGAACCCACTTCTGGGATAATCCACGAATCGGCGACGTATCAATCAGGGTCATTGTATGTATATATATATATTTTTCTATACACAGATACATATATATATACACATATTTATATATATATATATATATACACACGCACACACATATATATATATGTTTATTTTTATATATATACATGATGTATTATGTATAATTATGTATATATGATATTATATATGTATATAATGTTGACATGAATGTGTATTTAGAAACTAACCACTTATGATTCGCGGGATGATCCTGGAAGTTGGCCAGGTCTATCGTGCCTCGCATGGCCTGTCCGAAGTCCCGCCTGCTGGGCCCGAGGGTGACCCCTACGAGGCCTATGGCTATGACGGTGAGGATGGCGATGACGTGTTGACCTTGGCTTCAACTTGGCTTTAGATACTTGCTACCAGTTTGGGTATGGAAAGATGATCCAATGGGATGCTGCACCATAAATTTGATGGGTTTAGGAATTCCTTTGAAGGTACTTGATATGTACTTGCTACCATTGGGATGGCGTATCTGGGCTTGTTCGGACACCGTGTGGGCTGATGTGGGCCCCCTGTTGACCCCAAGGTCTTTGAGAATGACGAGCCATTGCATGGGTGGCGGCCCAAAGTGTGAGGATTTGGGGAGTGCTACCAGATTTTTTGCGTGCTACGGGTCCTGTGAACGGTGGGGAAACTATATCTTTGATCAGCAGGATGGGCAATACAGACAAGGGGTGGCACTGGAAAACATGTCACTTGTGGATGAGGCAGTTCCTAGACATTTTTGATGCGGTGGCTACCATGCCGCAACGCAATGTGGGCCAAGTGAAGACGGGTGAAGACTCCTTCAGTAAGTGACAGGAACCATGCAGAATCGGTGGCTTGAATCATAGTCGGGTAGTAGCTAAATTAGCTAAAACAGCCAACTAGTAGATATTGCATGGTATTGATTACGACGGTATTATGGTATGACTGACATCACTTGGCAATGACTTTCTGGTTGGTGGTTTGGAACATGAATTTTATTTTTCAATTCAGTTGGGAATGTCATACCCCAACTGACGAAGTCATATTTTTCAGAGGGGTAGGTATACCACCAACCAGCTTTGATCAAAAGGAACCTACTGAAGCATTGGATGACTCCTGACAGGTGGACCGTGTTTGCTCATCGGCAGGGGATCATTACCTGCCGTGCTTGATCTCGACAGGGAAATACGTTGGATGTATGTTTTTGCATATGTAGATGCACTATGTACAGGTACACACACATATATATATAGGATAATAATAATGAGAATAATTTTAATAATAATAGTAATAACATATACAATACCTATTGCATGTATATGCATATTTATTTGCACGTGTATGTATGCATGCATAGAGATTGTTGACAGAGTAGCATACTATATTTATATCAGTGCATTGGCCCGTATGCATGACCGGTCAAAGGGATCAATCTATGTATATATATATGTGTGTGTTTTTCATTTATTAAACACTAGATAATACAATCATTATAGGCAATGAAGTTCTATATCATGTTTGATAACAGAGCTATATAGGTTTCACACTATAAACCGCATGGTTTCCTTTGCTGCATTACTCGGTGATTCACCATCAATTTCACACACAACGACCGCAACGTACGTTCGCTTGGTGAATCATGTTGTTTTTCATCCGGCTCGACAGCTTAACGTAGCCACCGTATGTGTCCAGTCCGATGGCATTCTTACTGGTGGTAGCTCGGCTGGATGTCGTTGGAGCCTAGCTCTACTCCAATGGTAACAAGCCCAGCTACGTTTTACACTCGTTGGGTACTGGGCCAGGTCACCCACAGGATGTGCAGATCGTTGGGGTTTGACTCTTTGTCTATCGGATCACTGTGGAATAGCGATGGAGGGTTCGAACCGATTTCCCCATGGGAGGCAAAGCAGTTTTCCTATGGAAGTAGTTGGGCTTGATATGTTTTACCATATTTACATGAGAGATCATGGGAGAAATCGAAATCAGATCAGCCAATTCAATTGAGGCAGGTTTGCTTGGCATCATCGGCTGTGTATTAGATGTATTAGGGATGTTGATGGATGTTGATGGATGTTGATGGATGTTATACTAAGATATATAGTAGAAATGTTGATGTTGCCCCCGAGGTATGGTCCATCAAAAATGTCGTTTGTGGTATCGTTTGCCTGCTGGCGCTTGCGTGGACAGCTCCAAAGTTTGGCCCAGAGGACGTTACCCCAGTGGTGGTCGCTGACAGTCGAGTCGAGTGCTTTGTTATGAGTCGGCGTGGAATGAATCGGACGTAACTTACATCTTTTCCCAGATCATTGCATATAAACTCAACATCATCTACGACTGATTTTACTTGTACCAGAGCTTGGTGAATTCCAGCAGTTCTGTTGCTTCGCCAAGGTAGTGTTGGTTGATACCCTTGAATATCAACAAGTTGGATGGTAATTAGTGCTATTTGGAAGTCAGTTTGATCACTTAACTGATTAATTATGGCAATGATACAACTATTTAATGGATGAAGTATGGTGAAGCGGTGAAGTGTGTTTTCACAAGACCAGTATTGGTTTTTATGGCGAGACCTGCAGGAACACCATGGATCAATCTTCTGCCATGGCAATCTTCTGTTGGTGGTCAAAACCAGTTGTGGGTTAAATCACCAATGGGTCCAATGTATGTCCTTTCATATATCGAATCTTTATACGCATGTTATAATTATATGATTTACCAAACAAATGCATACATGCATTACATGCACTGCGAAAAAGGCAACATGCTATGAAACGATGCATGCTTTCAACCACTGGTAGGTCACCGATTCTTGGGTCAGGACTCCAATGCCTTGCAAGAGCAGCTCGATCAGATTCACGAGAACCTGGGGTGCCTTGAAACATCGAACATCACGGGCAAAGCGCTGGTTTTCATGATGGTTCTACAATGGTTGATGATATTTTTTAACTTAATGGAGAATGATTCATGATGTTTCATGTTTAAAAAGAACATGAAGGAACTCAGTGATGCTTTTATTAAGGCGCGCTTTTGGTAGCACAATGTTTTTTGTTGCAGTTGATTGAGTGTCTACGATGCTCAACCCATGAATTTATGTTTGTTTTCGGAATAGTAAGTGAAAAGGTACTGGCTAATGCTTGGCGAAGGGTGGGTGATGATGTTAAGTGATGATTCTGGATGAATTATAATGACCTCACTGCGACGTCACTGGAAGGATGGTTATAGTAAGGGGTATTTATTGATCGTTTGGCACAGTAGTTTAGTTTTTTCTTTCTGTTAACCATCCACAAGATCTTATCGCAACAGATCGAGGTGCCTTCATTTTCCATTTCCTAAACTCCTAAACCTACCCTATGGCCACTGGCAAGAAACTAACGATTGTTTCAATCCCCAGTCTCTGTTCCACACAATTCTCCCTAAGAACAATCTTGGGATTGTGCCATGTCACAGATGCTCCACGAAGATACGCTTGGTGATTCCGTATCTTCGTGAGTTGAAACTCTGTGAATTTCCTGCAGCAAGATGACAAACCGTGTTGGTTTTATGATGTTTTATGCTTCTCATATCTTCTCATCAAAGTCAGCGGCATCATCGTTGATTCATTGCCACATTGGCTGCTACGTCAACATCACCCACCTGTCCCTTTTTTCGCGTCTAGGCGGCATGATGTAAGCCATTCCTTGGAGTCCATTCAGGCGCCGGATGGGGTGACGGTGAGGCTTTCAGTGTTTTCAAAGTTGAAAGATGCATTAATCATCGGTGATCCTAACTTGACTAAATTGACTAAATCATCAAAGAAATCCACATAAGAAATCATCAAATGATATCACATGTTCAAAGATCATAAAACAAACAGCATAGATACATCGATCATGGCCAGACGTGCTGATTTTAATGATAAATCGACATAACTCATCATCAAAATGCACTGGCAACATCATCCAATGGGTGCAATGGTACCTTCCGAGGAATCTGGGGAAGGGTTTGGATAGGCTCATGATTGAAGATGACTTGCCTGTCATTTTTCGATTGAAGAGACACTTGACAGGACAACCCTTTGTCATTGGTGGCAAAACATGGCAAAACCATGAATGGTTTCCTATTTGTTCTTTTTTAATGGGTACTGTGATTGATTGATTGGTTAATAACTAGCTTACAAGTGGCAAAATATCATGGATTATAACCCCCTTTAATGTGGTAAACCCAATCGTAAACCATCCCTAATATCAGTTTTGTTTATGGGTGAGATTTCTATCATCATGATCATTCCCAACTGGTATATAGTATAGGTGTTGATCGCTTGGAACCACATTACTCAATGCATTATGTTTAAGGGAAAACCTACTGGAAACCCACATATGGTCATAGGAAAATCCATGGTTTCCGGTTAAGATTTTCCCTTGAACCAACCCATTGAATAACACTAAATTATAAACCATTAAATTATTATTGATTCTGATTCCCCTCAAAAGGTATCATCCCCATTAGTATAACCATATTAAACAACGTCCCATGGCCCAAATAGAAGCTCCTGCATCCAGGCGTGGATGGCCCCAAGCTTTGAAGCCTTGCCGAAGTACAGTGCTTCCAGCGGGATCGGTTCCAGCGCGAAGCCGCGGCTTCAGACCTTGGCGGCCAAGCACCTGTTGCAGCTCGATGGGAATATGATGGGAGAATGATGTTGCACCGTTGCACCATGGATTTCTGATTGGTGGTTTCAAAATTAAAACATTTGGATTTTTTTCCATAATATATGGGATAATCCTTCCCATTGACTTTCATATTTTTCAATATGGCTAAAACCACCAACCAGATTTTTGATGGCCATTGAAGCCTCTGGTAAACTAACCGGCTGAAAATGGCCCATCGTTGATTTAGCCATTTTTTAACATGGTGATGGTTATGTAAACGTTTACCAGAGGCTATGGCCAGCTAAGCCTCTGATAATTTACTCCAACTTGAGCTATTGAAAATCAGCGTTTTTGATAGGCTGATAGGCAATTTATAATCTATTATAAATGGGCCATCTTCCATAGCTATATTAGATAACCAGAGGGTAGCAGGGGGAAACAATGGACATACTTAATACATGATAGGGTATGTGAAGCCAATAATGATTATCAGTCTGGCAGATGGCCGTCTCAGATTTTACCCCCGTGATGATTCACCAAACACACCCCTCCCTATTTCGAGACGGCTCGGAACATCAACTGGCTGTTTTCCCAGTAATTCCCTGGGGGGGATGGGATTGATGATTAAATCCTCAAATCTGGAGCAATTTAGAAAAATCAACATGGGTAACATGGGGCTTGGCGATGGTTGGAGTAATGCTATCAGGGTGACCCGGGTAAAAGGGGGCGTATTCCGCCGTAAGATGGGTGGAGAGCTGAGTGTTGAGTCATGGGCATTTCACTGACCACCCAAGTTTGGTGATATGATATCTGGTTAGTGATCACGTATCACTGGCTGTTGCGGTTTCATTGAGCCCCAATGATATGTTTGAGATGGCGGTTTTACAAAACTCGGCCATCCGGATTCAGCACCCAGATTTCCTTTCTGTGTCTTGAGGGGATGAAACCCAGAGACACCGATGGGATCCTGTGGGTCTGAATTTCAGACACCTATGACTAGCACGTCTTTTTCTTGGACCATGATTTCTGTGGCTTCCTGGTCAAAAGTTGGATTTCATATGGTTAACCCATTGAGTGGGGGATGTATATGCCATCACAAGGGTTCCCAGTATGAGATGGATTTACGAGCCATTGCCAGCACCAGTTCTGAGGCATAGCTATTTCAATTTGCACCATGGTTTAAACATCGAAGGTGCCGGGCGGAGTGTTGCTCATAGCCAGGTACTCCAGCATTGGAACTGTATCCTGGATTGCTGAAAAAGATTGTTTTTTTCCCAGTCGTTACAGTAACCCACCATTGAGGGAACCTACTGGGAATATATTCTGTAAGGCCACCCTCCGCAAATCCAAACTAGTTACTAGTTGACATGTTGTAGTCGTGAAACTCAGAGAACTTCCGCCCTTCAAAAATCTAAGCCGCCAGTGGAAATTCCCCAGTTGTATATTTATTTGCCAGTCAAGATGGAAAATCCCTGTTGTTTCCGGGGTAGTTCTTGCCGGAAAAAAGAGATGCAGAGCACCGGCTGCCCACGGCCGGTGGGTCGCTCTCCTATGATACCATTCCAAGGGTAAACATCCACGGGCTTCACGCATTTTGGGAGCGAATTCCATGGGTTTTAAGCCATAGCCATTTGACTACTGCCCGCGTCGTGATGCCCCGTACAGGTTTGCAGTCCTACAACTCCCAGCGAGAGCCCAATCGACAGGCAAGAAGAGACACTACTGTATACATAGATTATAGATTGGGTGATCAGGTTGTTTCTAGATGGGGAATGTAGCACGAACAGTAGGAACGGTGGTAAATGGTGTAAGTCGGTGTATGTGTTCACTAGTATTGTTCCTACATCCTGTTAATATGTACTTTTGCTGCTATGCCTTATCCACGCTAAAGGTCAGTTGCTGGCTGTGATGATTAGATCTAAGTGGATGGCCGGATATTGCATTGAAATTGGAAAAGGGTGAGTACCTCATAGGAACTCAGTCATGTCTACAAGTCTTGAGTCCCCCAGTTGATGCATTTTTTCCCCCATCATCCATGCATTGCATGTAGGGAATATCACTCTTCATCCAGCACAGCGCATCAATATACATCGCCCCTTTGACAATCATCACGTTTTAAAGAAATCCTATTTACATCTATGAACTATTCGCATCATCAATATGATCATATGTGTTTGTTCTTTGTTTTCTTCGTGGTTTTAGTGATTTACATCCTTTTTTTTAAGCTACCCTCTGGTAATTTAACATAGCTATTGAAAATGGCCATAGAAATAGTGGATTTTCCCATTAAAAATGGTGATTTTCCATAGCTATGTTAGTTTACCAGAGGGTAAACCTCCATTTTCCTATGGTTTTCCTATGGTTTTCCCATTAAAACCTCCATTTTCCTATGGTAAACCAACATTTCCCAGTTGGGTTGCCTCGCCCCAGGCTCTGGCGGACTCGGCCTTGGTGAAGAGGTCCAACAAATTAAGGGCCGCCTTGCAGGAGCGCGGCCTTAAGGGCCACTTTGTCCCTATGGAAATATGGAAAATGATAGGAAAATGATGGGGAACACACACACACACATATATATATATATATATATGTATGTATATATTAAAAATATATATATATATATATATACATATGTGATGTTAACTATGGGTAACTATGACTTATGATTCAATAGATATCTAGCTATCTGTTTATCCATCCATCCATCTATCTATCTATAGTTTTCACCGAATATGAATGGGATGATTGGATGATTATGGGATTTACCCTCCAGTGTCATGAAAAATGGCTGGAATCCCCGAACCATGGAGGGTAAGGTTTTGGTGAGGATGGGTGCCTCTAGTTGGCTATGTTGTTGATATTATTATGCTTGTTTATTTCCATACATGTTCATGATATTGTGTCTGTATTGTGGTTAACAGATGTTACACATTATATTTTGCTTATGAATGTTTATAGTGTTTCTTGTCATTATATTGTTGTTGTTTGTTTGTTTGTTTGTTTGTTTGTTTGTTTGACTACTACACTGGTCATTATCATGTTGGTATTGCACATAAGAGAACCATGACTATGACAACAATGATATTGGCGCATTAACATGTGGTAGCGGCAACGTCCAAATGCACTGATTGTACAATGCGCTGGTGATGGTGAAATGGTGATATGGTGATATGGTGATGGTGCTGATGATGATGATGATGGTGATGATGAAGAAGATGATGATGATGAAAATGATGATTATGATTATGATGATGGTGATGGTGATGATGATGGTGATGGTGATGATGATGATGATGGTGATGGTGATGGTGATGATGATGATGATGATGCTGGTGATGGTGATGGTGATGATGATGAAGATGATGATGATGATGATGATGATGATGATGATGGTGACGATGATGTTTCTTGGCGGTCGTGCAACCATGCGAAACATGCAACATTTGATAAGTTTGTCATCTTGACGTCAGGAGTCCCCTCAGGGTTACAGCCTGTCAGAGCTGGCAAGTATTGCGCTGCTACTACAGAGGTCGGCGCCGAAAAGTGGTGGGATGCGTCCGAAGATCTCCCGGCAGGTGATTTTGTTGTTTCTCTGAACAGATCTTTGAAATTTTATTCAAAGCAACTGTTTATCTATTGACTCAACATGGTGGGTTTTGATGATTTGAGAACTTCTTGTTTAATTCAAAAATATTTTCCGAATCTTTGCAAGTGAGTTGCCCCTTTTTGCCGGGCCTTCCCTGTGGCTTGGCCCCCAGCGCCAAGGCTGGTGATGAAGGAGATCCGGATTACCTTCAAGGTGTGCGCTTTGGGACCCGAAGTTTAGTAGTTTTTGCCCAATTTTGATCAGTTTTATATAGTTTTATATAGTTTTATATAGTTTTATGGGTCAACCCAGGGTCAAGTTAGATTATGTTAGATTTACATAAATGGAGGTGTCCCCCCGTAAAATGATGATTCCGGAGCAGTGCCCAAATTGAAATCTCTCTAACCCATCATGGAAGCCTTTCGTAACCAGTAGACCAGGACGAAATTGAACTATGCATTTCCCACTTGTGATGGCAGGCATTTTTGGGGATGCCTTTGGTTCTAGATCAAAAAAAAGAACCTTGGTGGCGTAAATGGTTGGTTCATGGGTCCCATCGGTTGTCTCCAAGACCACCGCCGGAAACGGCCGCAGGTGGCTTGGCGCCTGAGGAACCATTCAGCCTCAGCTGAACTCACCTGGGAGGAGGGAAGTCATGGGGCCATGGGGGCGACTTGGTGACTTGGAGATCCTGCAGGTCCCCAGGTCACCATGGCATTTTTTCGTCCATGACGACTGGATATGGATGACTCGGGTGGTAATTAATACCATGACAGGAAAGAAAGCTCCAAATCAGGGGAAAACAAACATTGGATTCATTGGATTGAATGGGGTACTCTACTCTCAGAGTATCTCGTGGGAAGATGATTTTTGGATTGTTCCAGATTCCAATGATTCCATGGTTTTGGGGTAGTCTCAGTTTTCCAAGCTTTCTGTGTGCTGTTGCAACAACAACAGTTCCAGCCAGAGCCTAGCATCTAGAACTGCCTTTTGTTAATTTGTTGGGGGTTGTCTCAAAATGAAGTATACCCCCAAAAATTGCACTTTGAATGAATGAAGATGATTAAAGAAAACACATCAAAATTTGGTGTACCATGGGGTACTGTTTTTTTTCAGACAAATAGACAAACCTTTTGTTTCCATTATACATGCTGCTGCATAGCACAATGAGGAGGGTCTGATCGACAGGGCCACACCTTATGAAAAATCAAGTTCAAGGGGTTGCTGGTTTGGGATCTCTTTGGCCTATGGTGAACCTGGACCTTGTGCGGTGTGATAGTGATTCCATGTGTTAGTACAGTCAGTGCCATCCACCCAGCCGTGAAGTTCATCAGGGTACAAGAGTGGGACCCGTGGGACCCGTTCGGCTCAGCGTATCATGCCTTCGGAAGATGTGATCAAAGCCTTCAAGAAGTTTGACAAGGATGGCAACGGTGTGATTAGCCGGTCCGAGCTGTCCATGGTGTCTCGGCAGATGAAGCAGAGAACGTGATGTGGGAAAAGTGTGACATGCTGACGTGCAGACATTCATGTAGACATTCTGAAAGCATGTTTTAAATTGTTTATACTTTCTGAATGTATTTATTGTTTCTCTGGGGGGAGCGGGCACAACGTTGAGATATGATGGTTTCGAGGGATCCGGATTGGTCATATATGTCATTGGTCTGCCCAAATTATAGCGACGTCACCCGACGTCACCGTGAAATTAGACCTAACCTGCTGAAATAAGGTCTTTCATGTCTACCCCAAGTTAAGAATTCCAACAACCATCACTGGTCCCACTATCCGACTAGTATATCCCAGCACGCAGTATTGTTCAACACACTCGTATGAAATTAAGGGGCTGCGTATTTACAACACCTCAAATCAAGAATTACAACAATCATCGTTAGTCCCCATAAGTAGTATTCTAAGACTGCATGGTTCGACTCCATCCCAAACTAACTGTCCTGCAGCAGCGGGCTGTTGAAAGGCCTTTTACCAGTCTTTTCCTGCGAGGCCGGGAAGTCTCTGCCGGCAAGCCAGGGGGGAATCGAGGCTACCCAGGGGGGAATCGAGCCCAGGAATTTCTAACGACGTCGTTTTTGGCATTTCGGGGGCTGAAAATGCCAAAAACGACGTCGTTAGAAATTCCTGGGCTCGATTCCCCCCTGGGGTTCTAACGACGTCGTTTTTGGCATTTTCAGGGCTGAAAATGCCAAAAACGACGTCGTTAGAAATTCCTGGGCTTGATTCCCCCCTAAGTAGCCTCGATTCCCCTGACTAGCCGGCAGTTTTCTGCGACTTCCCGGCCTCGCAGGAAGAGACTGGTGAAGAGGCTCCGTTCAACAGCCCGCAGCAGGACAATTTTGTCTCTGACTTGACTTTAGCCAAGCGATGCCACCGATGAGCAAAAGAAGAAGCGCCTGTCAGAGTGCCTGCTTTCATCCTAGTCTCACGACGTCAGCAAATTTTCGCGATTTCCGCGACGTCACCATATTTCAGTTTGAAATAGCGAAATTCGACCTAAAGACCCTGAAATATTATAATTTGACCAGATTGGTATTCCCACAGTTAACCAGGATTTTTCTGGATTTTCTTCAGCTTGTTTGCGACAGACAATAATCCAGACTCGATTCTGGTATGGATTGAAATCATTGAGCAGAAAAGGAGTCAGGAGGCTGCTGCCCATGGATTTGCGACATTTGTAAGGCAGTAACATATCAATTTCAGGTTCCAGATGATTAATGGGGAAATGTAGGACATATTTGTATTTCAGTTTAGTTTTTTTTTATTTCTCCCTCTCCCCTTTGCTGCCTTTCTGCTTCTCTGCTTTTTGCTGTTCTTCTTTTCTGCTTCTCTTCTGTTTGCTGTTCTGTGTTTTTTTGCGTCTCAGTTTTCCTCGTGTTTTTTTCTTGTTCGTTTTTGCGGTTCTGTTTTTTTTTGTTTTTGATATTCTGCTGCTTCTTTGCTTGTTTGTTTTGAAGTATTGTGTTTTTCTGCCTTCTTGTTTCTCTCTTGTTTTTGTTTGGTCAACTTTCTTGCGATTTCTCCATTTCTATGTATTTTGCTGTTTTGCTTCTCTGTTGTTGTTTCTGTTTTCTCTTGTTTTTCGGTTTGCTGGTTTCCTTGTTCTTTTGTTTTCTTACAATTACAACTACAACTACACTACAACAAGATCAACAAAAAAAACAGCAGCAACAGCAACAAGAACAACAACAACAATAACAAGAGCATCAACAACAAAAATAACGAAAATAACAACGCTTAGACAAAAATAACAACAAAAGAAGCAAGAGGAACAACACGAACAACCACAGCCGCAAAGAAAGACCAAACCTAGAATGTTCTCACTGTTTCTTTAGTGTGAAGACCATTGGGCCCAGAAAGGCTAAATGGGATGTAAATGAACTGGTTGACAAATTATACTATGCTCACATGACATGAGCGTAGTGAAAGGTACTGTATCTTAAAAATCACTATTTCATGTCATCTGCCAAGTGCGTTTTTTTTGACACAAAAAAAAAGGCGCACATGTCATTTGCTTTAGGTGCCAAAAGTACCATACCATTTTTTTGCGATAGGTTTGTGTTACGCCCGCCCTCCGAAACATATGAACTCATGACATGCGATCTTCAGCCCATCTGAAAAAAAAAAACACCAAAAACATATGAAAAACAGGGGTTCGCACTATGACACTTTTCATTCATGTGACTTCATGTGGTATTGACCGGTATGTCATGTCATCACATATACGGTTGCGCACCAACAATACACCAACAAAATGCACACACGCAAAGCAATGTTAGAATGATGAAATAGGTGGAAAAACCGCATGACGTCTAATGATAGAATATGATAGAATAAAGACATTGGTGGGGCCGACTGCACCCCCTCTCCCTCTCCCTCCTCCCGTCCCCCTCCACGGGGGTTCCTTTTTGATAATTTTCTTGTTCGATGGGTTTTAATGGACGATCTGGCTAAGGGCTCACCGTCATTTCACGAAGAGCATTCCCGAAGACAGAGTTGAGAACTCATCTCATGTGCTTTTGTGACGTAGGCAGCAAAACCTTTTTTGTTTTTGGTTTCGCCTTTGTGCAGCAGTGGTGCATGAACAGATGACTTGGTCATAAGCGACCAAACATGTCACATAGTCTCATGTCATGTGCTAACAAAACCGAAAAATGGCGGGGCACAGAAAAAAATATGGTGCTCGACAACTCTCAAGTTATCTGCCTGCACATGTTTCGGGTCAAAACCATGCTCATGTCATTTGCTCAACGTACGGGGTAAAAAATCCCCACTCATTCCCATGTCATCTGACCGTGATATAACATTTCACAATTTCACAGTGCTTCAAATGTGACTTGAAAATGGAAGGTCGAAACTCCACAGTGTCTCATGTACCATTGGAAGGTTGAAACCTCAAAATTCTGCATATACAGTCAAGTGCAAGATGGGAAGGTCAAAGTTCCACGGTACCTATCTAATCATCATAATACACCATTACACCATGCAAAATGGAAGCTCGAAGTTTCAATATGCTGCAAATTTATGCAAATATCATGTCCAAAATGCTGGAAATCCATGCGACATGAAAGCTTCCATCTCCCAAGAGTTTCAAATGCCAAGCCCAAACAACTACATCTACAACTGTACAACTATATACAACTACTACAACGACAGCAACTGCAACCGACACAGCTGCAACTACAACTGATACAAGAGTACCAACAACAAGCAACAACCCACATCCAACAACCAACCAACAACCAACAAACAACAGCCAACAACCAACAATAAACAACCAACAACAGCTTTCAAAAACCTTCAAAATAGAAGATTTCAGCTCCAAAATGTTGCAAATAGCATAGCAAAAGGAAGGTTCCAGCTCCCAAATGCTGCAAACAACATGCAACATGGAAGTTTGCGGCCCAAAATGTTGAACATATCATGTTTTTTTGGAAGCTTTCAGCTCCAAGAACCTGCAAAGAACATGCAAATAGCATGGAAAAACACGCACAGCCAGAACTCACAAAAAAAAATAAACTAGTCTTGATTCTTGATAGATGGCGATCGAGATAGCACGAGAGAGAGAGAGAGAGGAGAAATAAGTTCCTCAAACAAGTTCCTACCTTATCAAATAGATTCAAATAGTGGGTAAGGGATGGTAAAGGGATTTCTACTTTTTCACTGGGCAACACCATTCGGTTGCCTAAATCTTTTCCAAAGTGTCGGGGTGGTTGGGTGGTTGGGTGGTTGGGTGGTTGGTTGGTTGGTTGGTTGATTAAGCGAAGCAGACGGTTGCATGGTACCAAAGCTGCCCCAAAACATGTTTCCCAATAGGACGTTGCCTTTTTTTCCATGCGTGTGCCCTGTTTTTCAACTAGTCAAAGCACATTGAATCACAATTCTTGGGGATTCTCCACTCAAGCAGCGCTTTTTTTCGGGAAATTGGGGTGGTATTTCCAGCGATCACCGGGCACTTGGAAAGTTCTTCTGCAAGGTCCTGAAGAACCTCTCAGATACCTGGGACGATGATTCCGTGGAGCGCCTGATGAACAAGGCCGACAAGACACTTGGCCCGTCGAGCGCCGGGTTTTTGGAAGAGGGTGGAGAAACCCATCGGAAAATATGGAGATATGATTCGGATGGAATGGGCATACAATGGCATTGATAATGGGGATGTTGTGGAATAATGTGGAATATTTGTATGGATATCATCTGAAACCTTTGTCCCAAAGATCTCAAACGCCATGCTTTGACTGCGGTTGTACCACGCTCGGCTGCTTGATTTGGGAGTGATTAAAAGTGCCGGTCGATGATCAACGAAATCAGAGTCAAGCATTTCACAACTTGATCAAGCCTGTGGGTCATCTAAGGTGGCAACCTTCCGAATCAAACAATACAACATGGAAACCCATCAGCAGTAAACATATGTCGTAGTCAAGATGCTGACCGCAGTGATAGAACATAAGATTCTAGCATGAACTGGTAGGAACACAATTATGCGCGTGCAATATCCTGGGATCACACCTTGAGCTCAAGTGAGATTCTGGTATCGGGATCCGGGGTCAGGAACGGCGATGGAGTGTTGCAGATTGAGGAGTTTGTGAACTGGCTCTTTGCCGCCCTAGAAGTGGACTCTTGCATGTCTTCCTTAGGCTAGTTTTGTGTGGCTCTTAGTGGGAGAAGGAGCAAATCGCAAGTTGTGTCAATTTGTCCGGTATTTGTATTTGTCTATACTATATACGCACATAGTATGATATATATATATATATGTATATTATACAATATTATTATACATATATATATATACATGTATGTCATATATACGTATATATACATATTATATGCGTGTTTTTCTTTTGGTGATCATTATATATATATATATACAGTTATAAAGTTATAAATTCATCTATCTATCTATCTATCTTAGGATCCATCCTATCCTATCCTATCCTATCGTATCCTATCCTATCCACCTATCTATCTATCTATCTGTCTATCTATCTATCTATTTATGTATATATATATATATATATGAAGGACACACGCAAATCACATCCAGATTTCACAGCAGCGTAGGTTTCCTCAACGTTTGTTGCTTCGCCATATCCCCAAGGATCCAACCTTGAAGGACGCGGCCAACTTGGTGGTGCCTCACCAGGGTGCTGCAATTTTTGACCCAGGGGTCCCAGGGGACCACTTAAACATAATATTTACCGGTTATATATGTATACATATTTATATATAAATCATAACATAATCATATATAAATTTAAATATACATATTTCTATAGCATATATATATCTATAACAAGTGTGTGTGTATTTATCATGGATCATAGATCCTGCTGCATTTACCTTAACTGTCTCAACCATGCTCAAGTTTTTTTTTGGGTGGGACCCAATTTTGCAACACAGATTGATGAAGGCGGTGGATCCCATCCAGCTATTTGGGTTGTCCCATTGATGGAAACCACCAGATATTTGCTTGACATATTGTGCATGTGATAGTGGGGGACCCAAAAGAAGCTGCCACGGATCATTCTATATATTTTTTGTTGCTTCAAAAATTCTTAGATTCTGATAAATGATTCTAAATCACCAACCCAAATCACCACTTCTTCAATCATTTGCAGTTCAGTGGTAATCGTCAGTGGCCCATATCTTTCCCAGAAGTGGGGTACAGCGGAACATCACTGGTTCCGTGGTTAAATAGTGGTCATCCGAACAAAAAAATAAAAAAGAGGAACATTTACTGTATATACAGCGGAAAAAATGCGAACCCCCCCGGCGCTTCCCTTTGCCTGGTGATACCGGTATCCCATGTTTTACCGAGGCCAGTTGCCCCGAAGAGCAGGGTAGGATGATTGGTGAGGCAGGGACCAGAGCACATCATCTACTCATTTTTTGGGTGGGTCAGTTGTTTTAAACCAGAGCCAAACACTGGTGGTTCAATATCTACTAAATGGTTCCTGTAAATAATATGTATCTTTTCAATGCCTCGACATGTTTCTGCCCTTTTTATGCCGGATCCGTTTCATGAACAGCTGGGTAATACCGGTTCGCAAGATCTGGGAAGCATCTTACTATGCCAGCGGCCCAACAGTTGATGTTCAAGTAATGTCCAAGCACACGGCGTTTTTTCAAGGCGGATGATGAGATGGAACTTCACAATGTCCAAGGTTATCATGAAATATTAGCCCTTGGGAAGATTGTCGCAATTCACTACAAGATCTTGAAGAATGCCATGGTGTGTCCAAATGGTTTTAATATATAATTATGTTTTTTTTTCCATTTGTTGAGCCTTGTTGAAATGATTGAGCAGCTGACATCGGTAGCCGTGTCAGTTGTTCGCATTCTTTGACATCGACTCGGATCGCTACTGGAACTTCAAGGAAGCTCCTTGGCTAGAAAAGCAGCCCAAGCCGTATTACAAATGATGGCGAACCATCGGAAAAACAATCCATTTCACGGCTGAAGAGCCAGGCTGGTGATTTTGAATTCTCCGACCTCATTCCATATGGGTGATAAAACAGATATCAAGCCACCCGAGGCCGACTACTGCGTGGTTGCAACCGAGGGGAAGCATTTGGCACCTTGAGCCGTTGGGCAAGGAGCGTGGTGCTAACTATTTCCCCTATCTACGATATTCTACGATTGAGGTATAGATGATATAGATCTACTTCCAGAATCAGAACCAGGACGGTATTGACAGTTGGATATTTGGCCAGATTGCAAAACAAATCCAATAAACACCAGTTCCTATGACGGAATGTGTTGGAAGCCCTGGGATTCTCCCAGATTTCTTCGGAAAGCAGCAACGTGGGAAACCCAGTAAGATAGACCTACCAGTTGGGGATGGTGATTTTGGGTTGGGCCCCTACCATGTTCAGGTCCCATAATATGGCTGCGGCTCATAAATGATATAAATGGAAGGGAGAGATCCATACATCTCTGATCCGGTCCACTACCTTGATCCATACTCAGACAGGACAATTTATAGCAGGCCACTTTGGCATACTCAGAAGCTCCGGATCCCTCAGGACTACGTAACTCATGACTACATGGGGATCACCCGTTTCGGGATGTTTTTTTGAGCCATGGCCCATATAAGATTATGAACATGTTCGATGGGTTGAAAGAACAAAATACTAGTTGACACGAATTCGCCAATCGTTCTGTGTTTCTTCGCGCACACAGGTCACCGATGTTTGCTAGTCAAGTCATTGCTTTACGATGATTTATTTTAGTGAGGATATGTGAGGATATAATGCTTCCCTTTCACTAGGATCACTAGGTGCTTTGTAGATATGCTACATGTGTTTTGTTTCTAAGTAACCTGTCGATACTACATAACATAGGCCAGGCCTGATCTATGTGTGTTGGTGTGTTGTTCGTTATTCTGGTTTCAGTCATTTCAACGGGGCACAGCCAAACCCATTGGTTGATATTCAGTGGCCAGGAATAGGGGTAATGGGGCAAAGGTATGTAACATGCCAGAGGTGAAAGACCAACTCCCATTGATTTGTTTCACCGTTGAACCAGAAGCGAATAAAATAAGCGTATCCTCAGGATGAGTTCTCTTGGAAGCAGATGCTACACGTGGCACCACCGGAGTTTGTGGACAAAGGCAAACAAGCGTTGTCTTTGGAGGGGATGGTTTGGTAGCATCTTGGACCTTGGACTGTAGAAAACCTGGAAAGGCGAGACAAACGCTGCATTTGTATACATATATACTTTTGTTTTGCCTCCTGGTGGTGGATTTCTTGATTTATCCTGGTCCTGGTTTGGTATCTATCTACCTATATCTACCTATCTACCTACCTACTTATCTACAGAATCTACCTATCTACCTATCTATCTTTCTATCTTTCTATCTTACTATTTTTCTATATTACTATATATTTCTATATTTCTATCTATCTATCGATCTATCTATCTATCTATCTATCTGTCTATCTATCTATCTATCTATCTAATCTATCTATCTAATCTATCTATCTATCTATCTATCTATCTATCTATCTATCTATCTATCTATCTATCTATCTATCTATCTATCTATCTATCTATCTGATCTATCTAATCTAATCTATCTAATCTAATCTATCTAATCTATCTAATCTAATCTATCTATCTATCTATCTATCTGTCTATCTATCTATCTATCTATCTATCTATCTATCTAGATTTACAGTAAATGCGACATGACAATAAAGAGAGAGAGAGAGAGAGAGAGTGGGATATATATATATATATATATATACATACATACATGCATACATACATACGCATGCCTGACCTATGATACCTTACGTTTCACTGACCTCAAAGAAGTTCTTCCCTCTTGCACATGCCCAGGATCAGGAAACTCCGATGAAATCAGTAGAAGAACACAGAAACATGACCTGTCAATAGATGTAGATGTAGGGGTGTCTTGAAATAGTTTGGATCCCTAAAACCATGGGATACCATGGGTTTCAATATTGACATGGTCGAATTGGCTGGATGATTTGCGATAGCACCATTTCAGGCAAACTCCTTTTTTGGCTGAGCTGCCACGGCCAGGATTTCCATCTTAGATTTTTTGGCGCCCTCAAACGACCAGTCAGATGTTCAATATTTTTCCAGTTGATGCTACTGCAATGGCACTTGTTCATGGCAAAAAATAGAGGTTTGAAGCCCCAGCTCTACGCTGAGTTACTTGAATCCTGAATTCGAGTTCAACATCGAGAAGGACTATCTGAGTGTGTTTACCAAAGTGAAGATGGTCCAGGAGCTCTTTGATTTCTTCGATTTAGACAAAGATGGCTACTGGAATTTCACCGAGTCCTGGGAATGTCGCCAGCCATTTAAATCATTTGCTTTTTTGTGGTGATGGTCGCAGATAGTGTCATAGTGGCCTTGTGAATGGCTTGGTGTATACCCTCTGGTTATTTAACATTAGCCATGGAAAATGGCACATAGAAATAGATGGTTTACCTATTAAAAATGGTGGTTTACCATAGTTATGTAAAATAACCAGAGGGTAGAGCCTATCGATATGAAAACTCTTGATTCACCACGTTGGTTTTTCGTGGCATTTTTCTTGCACTGCTGGATGACAAATCGAGGTTTGATATAGATGGATGTGATGGATTCAGATTCTTCATGTGTTTGGTGAACAACACACCGCCATGCCGCACTGGATTTCAAAGGTTATGACGGATCATGTTTGATCGTTGATACATGACGGCCACAGGCTCCTTTGCGACAGATGAATCTGCGGGACAAAATCACACAGAGGAGATGTTCGCATGGCTGGTGAATGAGGCAGGTAGCTGAGATGATGCGATTTGTTCAGTGTATGTATATATTATTGCATTTGACTTGACTTAATCTAAAAATGGGGATAATGGGGCATACCTCGAGCAAATGAACATGTTTTTTGAGTTGGGAGTTGATGACTTGCGTGATTAGCCAGTGGATTTAGGGGTATACAAGTATACCTAGTTTCAGACAAACCTAACATAAAAGCTGCAACCAGTCTCTTCAAAAAAGTAAGTCTCTCAGAGAGACAGCATTGTCCTGCTGACATGGGAGGTCTCAATGAGAAAATCAACTACAAATGGTGGATCTAGCATGCCATCTTTGATTACCTGAGAGTATATAATCCGTTCACCCTATCCTAACATGTTCCCCTTGCCCAAATAATAAACCCGACGGCCTCTTCATTAGGGGTGATTTGTATTGTGGATTTCCATATAGAAATAAAAACCACAACAGAAATAAGTTTGCAAAGGTTCTGCCAATAATTGACAGAAAACCTGAGAAAGGAACGCGCATATCGCTTGCAAAATCCATCAAATTTCCCTTCAAACACGACTATATTTAAGAAAACATGCCCAACATTTGTTTTTGAGTGTTCTCCTGGCAGATGTTCTACCGTTCCACTTCAAGGACAAGAACCCAAAATAAACACCATGGCACACCTACTCCTCTGCTTATTTGTATAATAGTTTGCTATGGGAACCATGGCCATAGCCCATTCAGTTCGATTTATGATGATTCTTTACCTATTAATATGAGGGTAAATTTGATCATAAGAGGTGCAATCCTAAATTTGGAAGATATGTGTGAACAATTTCTCCGCGAAAGTATATAAATCACAAAAAATCAGAAATATGCTCCAGCGAAAGCTAAAACTGTGGTGGCGAAAGCACCGCGAAAGCTGCGCCAAAGCAGTTCTATAGGTTAATGGGTTGATCAAGAACACGGCTCACTTGAGTCTCCATTGGCAACTCTTGTGCAGTTGATGCCAGCAGATGAGAAGAGCAAGGGGCTCTCTCGGCAACTTGGCACTGAAATCCGGTCGAGTTTCCGGGTCATGACCACTTCCCTCTGGTGGCATCAATTCCATATCTATGGGAATTGCAGAATCCTAAAATGGAGGTACGTTAGTACATGTTAGTACCATATCAGGCCACATTTCGTGGGATGATTCCCCTACATAGCCCTGTTTTTTTTTGGGCCTTACATATGCTAGGTACCTCTAATTTAGGTCCCTGAAATGGCAATTGAATATGGACAATATGCATCCATATGTCATTTCATCAGAGATGATGCCACCTTGCGACTTGTGGTGGCAATGTTGTGGTGGCTCAAGAGCCCCGGTTAGAATGTAGTCCAATGTTGATGCGATTTGAGATCTTGATCCCCTGAGTTCGGCCTGAGATTCTTCCAGATTTTCTTGAGGTCCACCCATCCCCCGAAAAAGATGCGGTTCGAGTCTCCTCCAATTTCCTTGGGTTGGCACAAATTCCCTTCCATTTCACAACTTTGCTGATTTCACTGCGTTGAAACGCCTTGAGGAAATGTGTGGTGGACGTCTACTGCCAGCCGATGCATTCCAGGTTCGAAATGAACATCGCCAAGGACCATGAGGCCCTACAAGTATACAAGGCGCACACCGGGAAGCATTCCAAGAATCGGTGCATTATTTGTTTCATAGGGCCCCTGTTTACGATAGCTAGGTTGGTGCAAATAAATTGGCTAGCTATGGTTTATGGTATAAGATGATGGATGATAATGGTGAATATAACTATTGTAGTCAATGGGGATTGTAGAGTAGAGCAACTATTGTAGAGCACTTATGACTCCGGGGGCCACCTTGTAGTTTATATATATAGGTGGAAAAACGTTGGTGTAAAATTATGTGTATTATTTCTATGTATATATATATATATGTGTGTGTGTGCGTGTTTTTGACCATCTATGCACCATCACGATCCATCACATATGAGCCATTGCTGCCATTCTAATGTCCCTTTGTTGCTTGGAGCCCCTGTGATGTTTATAGCTGCAGGGAAAGCCCCTTGGGAAATCGCTTGACGTTCACTTGGGATGACCTGCATAAACCACATGGATTTGCAACTTGTAGGCCATGTTTAATCCAACAACAGACACGCCGCCGGTGAAAGTAGGTTTCACACTCCTGACCTTTCATCATGCCGTCAGTGACCCTTCAAGAGGTGAACAAAAACCTCACTAGGCAGAGGCAGATCTGATCTCCGCCGTCCATGACCCTGCTGGTTCCCAGCTCTATTCGGTCTGCACTGGGCTGACGGCTTGGAGACAGAATTGTTTGCAACAAGGAACCCAAAGTGGCAAATGCCTGCAACACAGCAAGCAAACCACAAAAATCCCACTTGAATGGTGACCGTGGCTGGACAAGAGGCACTCCCTTCAGGATCTCCCGGATAGGACGTGAAAAAACCATCTGTTCCATGCCGCCGCTGATCCAGCCATGTTGAATCCCATCAACCGTTCATATTAAAGACCCCCGACAAACCAAGGTTTTCATAGGGCGATGGAGCGCCAGATGCATCAAAAAAAATGGACCATCGAATAAATAGCATGGAGTCGCTGGTAACATCTGGTAACGACTAAGCTGGATGTCCAAGTTCCCGCAGCGGCCAAATGTTCCCCCCGGGATCCCCCGCGATCGCAGAAAAAATTGGCCACGGAGATCTTTGAGAATTATGACGCGGACAAGGACGGCTATTGGAACTTCCAGGAAGCTCAGAGTTGTAACAAGGCGCGGGCCCTTTGGATGCGGGTTATGATGTGGATGGACATCTCAGGGCCAAAAAAAACCGGGGTTCGTGACATACCCTCTGGTAAACATAGAAAAAACTATGGAAAATCACCATTTTCAATAGCTATGTTAAATTACCAGAGGGTACTTATTTTGACTTCTTGGACCTATGATTCCAAATCACACGAAGCTGGTTTGGTGCCTGGTATCCCAGTTTGTTGCAGTCACGTGGTTTTCTCGCCATCCGAGAATCAGTGCACTTTATTTGGGATGGCGGGATGGCATACCAAAAAACAGATGTTCAAAATCTTACTGGTGCTTAGCAGGGAATGAGGGAATGATCCATAAATATCCATAATCACTAGTAATAGCAATAATCATCCCAGAAACCCCATTGCCATCCATTCCCTGCGTTTAGCACCAGTAAGAAATTCAGCCAGGAAACTGGAGAGACGACCTTCAATGAAGAGGAATACATGACGATGGTTGAGTTCATGCAGCCGGGGAACGAGGACAGGGTGATGCATGGTGATGCCCCAAATCAGGCGAGCGACTCACCACGATGCTTCAGACAACCTAGCCATAGGGGGCTGCTTTGGTTTGATTCGTAGCAGTAAATGACTCATTATTTATATATATATATATGATATATAATATATAATACATATAATATATAATATTATATATATATATAGTTCCAAAAAGTGTGCAAAAAAATATAATGTTGGAATTCCCAATCTTCCATTTTTTCGATCTAGCTCAAAACATGTAGCTGGCTCAATTTCATCAGGGGTATGTTTTGACAGTCACCTTGGGCTTTTTCAGAGGTACCATATCTAGTACTAAAGTAATCGGGGATTGAACCTGGCAATTTAATGCAATTTAACAGATTGGGAAGTTTCTGCGAGCTCGCTCAACTGCAACGAGCTGGCTCAGCACCATCGAGCTCGCTCAATGCCACGTAGCTGGCTCAGGGGCATCGAGCTAGCTCAATGGCATCGAGCTGGCTCAATTTTTTTAGCGAAAAAAAAAAACTCGCAGAAATTGAGCCAGCTACGTCACGTTGAGCTGGCGGACGAATGTGAGAGCATCAAAACGAATACTAGCTATGTATTGGCCGGGTTCATGACGCATTGGCGAGCCGGCTCAAGGGCATGTAGCCGGCTCAATTTCTGCGAGGTTTTTTTTTTCTTTTTTTTTTTTCGCTAAAAAAATTGAGCCAGCTACGTGGCGCTGAGCCAGCTACGAGGCGCTGAGCCAGCTACGTGGCATTGAGCCAGCTACGTGGCACTGAGCCAGCTACGTGGCACTGAGCCAGCAAGGTAGCTTTGAGCTTTGAGCTAGCAAGGAGGCAGTGAGCCAGCAAGGTAGCTTTGAGCTTCATCATATATATATATACACCTATGCAATCCCAACCATGTAATATACTAGATCTAGGGAAAAACAATTTTTTTGAGGGAGACACGTACCTTTGAGCTGGAGCGGGAATGTGAAATCTAACATTCAAAAAATACATCGGGCTGCGTGGCCAATTATGTGCAAGCTGGAAGAAGGGCTGTCCTGCTTGCGTGAAGTATGGGTTGATGGGCCCGCTCGTTTTGCAGTCCGTGTTTTTTTTGGCGTGTGGCGTACTGCAAGGGCAACCAAGCCACGAATCCATCCAAGTGTTGGGGTGGCAAATGATCCAAGTGAATCCAAATGTATATATTTCACAATTATTTTACATTTGTATACTATTCAATGCGGCGTGATATTTTCAGAGGTTAGATGAAGCAACTTTAAATTTCACTGCATGGCATTTCCCGACATGTCACTAGTCATAAGATATGCTCCATGTCATCCGGTGCAGGACAAGAGCAAGGGACTCTCCAAAGAGACTGTTGTGAACTCATACCTTGACCCCAAGCATCAGCAGAATGCCCTCAAGGATCACAAGCGCGTGCACTGGCCCAAGTGAAGAGTGCGGTTGACGTTAAAAAACGTCCAGTCGTCATGTTCCACTCGCCAAGCGAGCTTGGAGCGCTGAGATTCCCCTATTCAGGCTGGTCAGTGTTCAGCAAACATAAGACCTAAAGGGGCTGATCGCTGAACGAAATGAGGAACTGAGAGATAGAGCTCTTGTCGTACTTATGCTTACTTTATGCTGACCTTTAGCCTGCCTTGCTTGGACATAGGTTAGAGATGGTTAGAGGAAAAGTGCAGTCTGTGGTCTGCTGATAAATGGACAGAGGCGAAACAGCAGGATGATGTCACTGCTTTCAGACAGGGTCGGCGAGATGTCAACCCACTTTCATGACATGTGTCGACACATCTTATGGAATGATATGGAATGTCCCAATTTCATTCAATTTCTTGGCTTTTGAAATCCGCTCATATCCCACCCAACACTCCCCGGTCAATAGCCTAGCCTGGTGTCTCCCCAAGATTGGACGTGGTTCCTGTTCAACCCCTACAGACCACCCTAAAGACTGGGGAAAACGGCCGGGCGTCCTTTGATGCTGATCATCCATGTATATGGTGCGAAACAAAATATGTTTGCCCGTAGTGTTTTTGGTGTTTTGTGGGGTTTCATGTGTTAAATATAGCCAAAAAAGAACTACCAAACAAATCGCTCATCGCGTATGAAACCAGAAAGTCTTGTTATGTTGGTATATGTTGGTATGCATATAGCAATAATATGCAATACTCATGACAACGGGATGGACAGCATCTCGCAACCGCGCGGTTTTTTCGTTTCGTGAGGAGCTTCATGAAGTCTTCTGTGCCGCCTTGGCTGTGGCGTTTCTTGGAGATTGGTGAAGCCTGGAGGACTCGGACTGAGATTGCCCGGCCTGGTAAACATCACCAGTTCGCTATTGAAAATCACCAGTTTTACAAGGGTAAATCAGGCATAAATGGCAATTTTCAATAGCAATGTTTAGATTGTTTAGCCATGTCAGTTTGAGGGTAGTTCGAAATGGGAGTCTTCATAGTCATGGGGGTACCGAAAAAGGGATGGTTTATAATGGAAACTCGTAGTTGCATGGATGATTACCACCATTTTAGGATATTTTAGGACGCCCCCAAATGGCTAGCGGCTTTTTAGATGCTACAACCATGGTTATTTGAAGGTATAAAGCCCATTAAAGCCCCATGTTGGGAGATGAAGTGGACCCTAGAACTATATGCTATCCACCTATGAGTGGAACAGCATTTCCGAGTGGAAGTTTGGCTTTGACGACTGGAAGTTTGGCAACTGACTGTGGTCCAAGTTAAATTGGCAGTGAACGATCTGGGATGATCTATCAGCCAAAGTGTGAAGCATAGATATGCATAGATTAATCATCCCAGACTTGAACAATCCCCACATCTTGAGCAACTGCTGCTGTTCAATGTGTGTTTTTCATGTTTTTTCCCAAGGTGGTGACTTCCCCTTGCCATGACTTTGCGATGGGGCATCGCGGCATCGAGCCAAGGCATGACTGGGACCAGGTCATCATAAATCTGGAGTCTCTAAAACGCGGAGCACCTGCAGTTTTCCACGAGCGTTTTCGCCGCTGGGGATAAAGTGCCGCTGTTAAAGCGTGTTGAACGGTAGGGAAACTGCTATAATTTGCTTGGTTAAAGTTTTTTTTGCCTGGTTTTCTGTCAGATATTTTGGATGCATTTCTTCAGCCACTGATTCCAGATATTTCCAGACATCAGATGGCATTTTGCTATCTGGGACACATCTTTGAAGTCTTCATCGTTGCCAAGGTATCGGTCAAGAATTTGCCACCGGCCACGTGAAGTCTTGGAGGAATATCAGGAAGTTTGTGACGAAGTTGCTTGGCCAAGCTTGAGGAATATCGAAAGCTGAGATTCTTTGGTTTGTGCACATTGATGTGGGCATAAAAATTGGCAATTCTTGATTTATATCATAACATATCCATAGAATCACAACATTTGATGACATTTGAATATATTTGAACAATTGAAGTTCGGATTTTTGGATAAGAGCCGGCAAGCTGTGCAAGGATCGGGATATGCCATGGCATCATACAGTCACACCACCGGAGACCATCAGGGCCCGCTCTGAACATATCTTCAATCTTATTTCATTAAGAACACCGTCACTAAATTATCGATAGTAAATCGCTTATTTATAGACTACCGATTTTAACTGATACAGTAGATGTTGCTTAAACTTTATATATATAGATATAGATATAGATACAGTAGAACCCCTTGAGAAGCCGATATTAAATATATTTTAGACTAGATATATTTTTAAATATGTTTAAATATGTGTATGTATGTGCAGTATGTGCTATTTAAATATTTATACAATGTACATACATATATATATATATATATGTGTATGCATACGTATGTTTATGTGTATAGATATTTATTTGCATATATCAAGTATATTTATTTGTTTATTTAAATGTTTAAAAATATATGTATATATCTATGTGATATATATATATATATATGTTATATATCATATGATTTATTAATACAACATTTTATATGCTATAGATACTAGAGTCATACTTATAGATGAGAAATCCAAACTGATTTAAGTGTCTCCTTTCACAGAGCGCTGCCAGCCGAGGCTTTCGAGGAAATCCTTGCGACCAGCGGCTCGACCTAAGTGGATTTAGATGGCCTTAATGCAGCTGAGGGAATTTTTAGAATTTATCCAGATCTGTGGGAAAGTGGTTGGAAAAAAATCGGACACACCATTTGGCCATTTGGCTCTATTTTCAGATGGTCTGCAATAACCGCATCTTAAGTTGCTTGAAAATTCGGACAGGTGCAAATCAAATCAGCTTCCGTTTGGACGATCCTGGGTTGAACTGGAGACAGCTGGGTGGTTCAGGCACCGTTCTACTCCTTCAAGACCGCACTGCCCACCTATCTTGCGCTGTATATGGGCTACGGCAACTATCAGAATTTTGATTGTCACTTGAGCAGAACGTACGAACAGAACATACGTTTGTCGTTTTGGTGTCCGGAAATATGCCGATAATTTACGCAATTAAACAAAAAGTGCGAATTGATGGTTTCAAATGAAGGTTCGCAGGTTAACACCTCAAGCGACAGCGATGGCGATGACAATTGACTAGATGCTGATCCTGATAAAAATCGAGGTGTGCTTACTTTCAACACAGAAGAGATGAGAACTATGAAGATGATGATTATTGAAGATGTGTGATGAAGTTTGATGATGATAAATGATAATAGATGATAGATGAGATATGATAGATGCTATATAGATGATAGTTAGAACATGATAAATGATGACTGATGATTTATTTCTTTATTTGTTTGATTGATTGGTCGAATTGATTGAATGATTTATTGATGGATTGGATTGGATTTGATTGATTGATTGAGTTGAGTTGAGTCGATTCAAGTCGAGTCGATTTGATTGATTGATAGATTGATTGTTTGAATTGATTGATTGATTGATAGATTGATTGTTTGAATTGGTTGGTTGATTGGTTGGTTGAAATGATTTGATTCGAATTGATTTGATTGATCGATTGATGATGATGTTGATCATCACCATCATGATCGTCATCATTTTCTCATTTTCATGGTGATGGAAATTCTGGTGTTGGTGTTGGCAATGAGAGTGTTGATCACGAGGGGGCTCAAGACCATTACGAGGTTCTTCCCGGACTTTGCAGCCCCTCAAGTGCAAAACCCTGCGTCCCAGAATTCCACGGGAAAAGGTTGAAGAACTGGCATGGACAAACTGTAACACTGTAACAAACCCCATTGAAATTTATTGCATGCAGCATCATCCATATCATTCCATATCCAAATTATCCAAGCCATACAAAAAATCATGGTATATCATGGTTCACTTCACCAAAGCCAGCCAGAAATCACTTGGTTGTTGGCTGTAAACGCGTCGTGAGATTCGCCGGATCCAGACTAGTGACTAGGTCGTGACATGAAGACGCAGCTTTCTCGTCTGGATAGTACTGGCAGCGGTCGGCTTCCTCTCAAGGTTCCTGGGGATGCACTTAGCACAATGACAGTTTTTGAAAACAAACAGAAACAAGCAGCAAGGTGAGAAAGCTATGACAAAATGTGTGAAGTAGTTGGGTACATTTTACTTCTTGTGTGGTCACAGCTCTAGATCTTAAGGGAGCAAGTAAGTCTACTACTGTTTGTGGTGACAGAATGGAGATGTGGCATGATATGATGTCAACCAACATGATATCAGCAACTTGGTGGCATGTTCATGTGATTTGTGCCACTTGAATCCACTTTGAGGCCTATAGCAAAGAGGCCCCAAGGGCTGGTGGAATTCACACGGAAACCCCACCCCACCTTGAGCCCATTTTTGACCCCCCTATGTTGGACTGCTATGTTTTTTCACGTTTTTTCCAGCAATCTAAAGGTGCAAAAAATAAATCCATATAGAGATGTGCATGTATGATTCTCAGCTCAGGCCAGGATATTGCGTTATTTAGAAAAATATGTGGAAACAGTTCCGGGATTAGATCAGTTGTCTCAATGGGCCGCAACAAGCAACCAGGTCTTGGGCTAAGATCCCCTGGATGAGAGAAATTTCTCAGTGGACATAATGTACCATCTGGTTATTTAACATAGCCATTGAAAATCACAATTTTTAATAGGTAAACCATCTATTTCTATGGGCCATCTATACCATGGCTATGTTAGTCATAACCAGAGGGTACATGTTTATAGATAGAAGTTGCTTAAATGCGTGGGTTTCAAATCTTGGTTTCGCTTAGTCTGAGTGTCACATGTCACCATCAAAGGAGTTGGGAACCATTATGGAAACCACGCATGATGAATCATGATTGGATTGGATGGAGTCAGGGAGATGCGGATGTTTTTCCATGTCCCAGAGCTATGTGGGCGTGTCTGAGAATAGGGTAGGGTATACCAGAAATTTAGGCCCATATTATTTGGGGGATGTATATGATTGTCTAGTGGATTTTTTCATGGAAACAAAAGGGTGCCTTCCTAAGATGCCTCCCCAAACGAGTAGGGCCTGACAAAGCCGGGTTTTTGAGAATTATCAACTCCCTTTGACCCTTTTAGGGGCGCATCAACCGTTGACGGATGGTGACCAGGGGGCGTTGTTCGATGTCCATCAGACAAACCTATAGCTATGGACCATGGATGATAATGGTGTGCAATGCTATACACCAAGTTATTCCAATTTATGCCCATCTAATCCATGCGATTGTGGATGATGAGCCAGTGGCATTGAACATATAGATTGTCAGAATTCAGACCAGCCTGTTTTCCCATGTTTTCCCATGTTTGTTGTCCCATGTTTTCCCTATGAAATATCGGGGTTCATGGGGTTCCACGGAGCACCCAACGCGTCCACTTCAACTTCCACGGCCAGCATTCGTGGTTTCGAGAATATCCCAGCCTCGTCGGGTCCGGACCTTGGAAGAGCTGCATAGGAAGCATGGGAAGCAGACCATATGAGGTTAACATGACCTGTACCATCCTGGAAACATCTATCATATATCTATATTATATATATATATATATCTATCTATCTATCTATCTATATATACTATGTTATACAATATATATATATCTGGCCTGATTTGATGTGATTGTTCTTGTCTCGCCCAGTTGTACCTTTCTGTGATACTACACTATCCAAGCTAATCACACCAAGTGAACCGGCTTCCGTGGCATCCTTCGCTCCGATATGTATTCTCTATCAATTGTATTGAATTAAGATTATTATTGTTGTATCGTTGATGTGTGGAAATGCGTGAGCCATTTACACACCCAATGAGGTTTGTTCCGTTTTTAGCATATTCGTTTACCCGCGTGTACCTTAAATACATTCCACCAGGGGTCTATGTTTTTCCCTGGTTCCTATACAAACCTGCTTCACCAAAAGGGCTGACACTGCAGAGCCAACGAGCCCAGCATGTCTAGCATGTCCAGCTGAGATGAACTGAGGTATTTGCATAAACTCGAAACTTTAGCCTCTTTCTATCCCAAATCTCCATCTGTGGTGGCGACCTGGCTACGTATACTTTGGGGATGGGGGTCGGAATGTGGCCAACATGGGGACACCAAAATTCAGAATGGGCCCTTGGATTCGTAAGAGCTACCGTTCCCATTCAGCCTTGACAGGTTACGAACTTTGTGGATGGCTCTCACAACTGCGTATCTGCGCATTCACAATTCGCCTTCTGCTGCATCAGCGAATGTACCAGATCCTTGGCTGCGTCTTTGCCCAGCCAATTCCTTGCGCCAAGATCTCCTTGTGTTATGAATTGTTATGCCGGGATCTCTGAGGCATACTTCGCACCTATGAGGCGGAAGTGCAGGTGCCGAGCTGCCGCTTTGATCGAGTTCCATGATCTTCACGTGCCAGAAAAATCAACACCGATATAAGCCGATCGTTTGCCATACTTTTCCCTTGAAAAAGAGTGGATTGCTTGTCAGGCGTTTCCGAATTCCATTAGTGATATTTAGTGATATTAGTTGGCAATTCTATCACCCTGACTTCCAGATATTGTTGGTTCCTGCCGAGACTTATCACCCGTATCCCCATTTATCTTAATCTAGCCCTGCCCTTCCAGTTGCCTTTGGGACAGGTACCAGGTAACCACTTCACTTATCTATGAGACAGGTAACCAAACATAGTTTCCGGAAGCAAGATTTGATGTAGCGATTGGAACTGCGACAAAACAGGTCAGAACCGTGACAAAACGTATTGGAACCATGACAATATACCTTGGAAACGTGATAAGCCAGTTGCTTCTATTTGTGGTTCCTCGCTGGCAGCCTGGTTCCTGTAAAAACCGTCGCCGAGGCCTAGTTACCTATGGGAAAGGTTACCAGGAAGACTAGGGTATATAGTGTGTCAGTGTATCTCTCTCTTATTGTTGGTCAAAAGCTCCACGTGGGAACCGTATGGAACCGTGGGAATCTTTCAATAGACCCGTTTTTTGTGGCCCAAGAAACTGCACCACTGCACCACCTTATCAGGCAACATGTTGAGGGAGGGGTCCCCCGATTCCGCCATGTCCCTTCCATTCCCTTCAACAGGTATCATGTAGGTTAGGCACCTCGAATTTAGGTACCTGGGAACAGCTCATTTGCAGATGATTCACATTTCAAACATGTGGAATTTGCATATGAATTTATGGGATGTTCATACCTACTGTCATCACCCTTGCGTTTGTAGATGATTCACCTTTTCCATACTACTAGTAGTAATTAGTCCCCTCATAGATAGAAACGTGACATTTCCCATCGCTTTGGTTGGGTTTTGCCTCTCTTATCGTTTCCATAGTTCCGATTCAGTGGCTGAGACCGCGACAGGCGCCAGAGGCTTCCCCAGAGGAATTGCTTAGAATCACAGCGATGTCCATGTCACTGGGCGGAAGTTGGCGGCTGGTATCACAACTGCACCGTTGGGGCGTTGATTTTGGGGGTGCAATTCAAAGCCGACAAGGATGATGATGATGATGATGATGATGGAGGAGGAGGAGGAGGACTCACACGAATGAGTAAGCATTCAGTCTTACGGTCTTACGGTCTTACGGTCTTACGTGTGTGTGTGTGTGTTTGTTTGTTTGTTTGTTTGTTTGTTTGTGTGTGTAGCGCCTTTACGATGTATTGTGTACAACACCGGTGGAGATAGGCGAGCTTTCAAGGGTCTGGACATTGATTGAGAATCAGTGTTGCCTACTTGGCAGAGCCGCCAGTGAAGGTTTGCGCAATTTTCAGGCTCAAGGTCACTCCCCTACTTTTGTCAGGTAGGGTTGCTGCCATGAGGGATTTCCTCAACATGAGCACCTGCCTCATGTTGGCAGTCCTTGGTGCTTGCACCATCCTGCTGACTGGCGATGTCATGGCTTTCACCACCTTGGGCGCACCAGCGCCTCCATTGAATGCGCCTCCTATGCTGGCAGGTCCATCCGCAAAAACCTCCCAGCCATTTGCATCAGCACAGGAGTGGGGTTGATTGGGGCATTCCAATTCCACAAACCCCACAAGGTTTTTTTTTTTGGATTTTGAGGTAGTGGGGGGTGACATCTTGGGTTTTAAACACCTGAGGGTTCGATTGAGATGTTTATGTTGACCACATGTGTTTTTTGGGCACGGGAGAATGTCAGGAAGCCCCTGCAGGAGGTGATGTGCGCGAAGGGCATGGTTTGCTTCGGCATGGGCTTCGGTGTGCTGATGGCGATGAGCCAAGGTCTCTCCAAGCGATCCATCACCCGGGTGTCGTGCAAGGCCGGCTTCGAACAACCCGGCAGCATTGTGCTGAAGGAGCAGGACACGGACATCTCCAAGATCCTTGGAATGCAATGCAGGGTCCTCACAATGTGGCTGTGGGGTGGTGTGGGTCAATCGATCGGGATACCAATGAGCCGAGAGCGGTGTCATTGTTAGTGCAAAACTGTTACTATGTTCGGAGGTTTTTTTTGAATCAGACCCATGCGGCGGCGGGTACAAAAATAAAATGCATGTTTGTAAGGGAAAAAATGACGGAACAGTTTCCTACAGTAGGTAAGTCGGGTCCATGAAACAAAAGTTCAGCATCCTCCAAATCAAGTTTATTACCAAATTGCTCAAAATGCAGGGATTGAGCGTTGTTTCTTGAAAGTCTCCTCCCTGACTTTCAACAACAGCTGCAGTTGGCCTAGTTAATTTAGGTTAATTTAATTTTAATTGTGTTTGTCCCAACTCTTGGTCCCTGCACCAAGGATTGCCTATTTGCAGGATGTGCCGCGAACCATCATTGAGAAGGACACGTTGGAGAAGCTCTTGAAGGTCACTCCCCGCGATCAATGGGAAGACCCACCTGAGGACTGCCTGGCGAAGTACTGCAAAAACCAGTCGTTGTCGAGGTATCTTCATCGCAAAATTTATTTACATGAATTTGTTGCAGGTATTTATGAGATAGATTGTCGTAGCCAAAAAAAATATGTTCACATTTATGTGTATATATATTCATATTTACTAGCATACTTATGTCGTGTATAGGATATGATTTTCCTTTGTAAGATGTAAAATACATTTAAACACACACACACATACATACATAGATACATATAATCCCATATATTTCCACAACAATGCCTTTGGGACAAGACATGTTTTTTTTTTGCTTTCTCCGAGCGCCTGCAGGACACCTACCTTTACACCTTGAAGACCTTTGCGGAGGTCTACGGCCCTGGTAAGGCCACCAAGATGGGCCCCTTGGCTTCGGTGATCCATGGTGATCCCGCGAAAAATGTTGGGTTTAACCAACAAAAACAGCAAACATGGTGAGTTTAACTATGTATTGACCATGTTTAAGCATCAATGAATCATTGATATGAAATAGCACCAAATAAAAGACGTTGCAACATGAATCGATCGCGTACTGACCCTTGGTGTCTTTTGGCTGGTATTTTGTATATTCTTAATTTTGAAGCTCGTTGGGGAATTCAAGTGCCCCCCGCGTCAGCAGACATATGCATTCCTTAAGAACGCGATCTGAAAATGGTAGGGTTTCCGTGTTGTGGTTGGTTTCCTGGAGGGTATTTAATTTTGTTTCCACTTTATATTTGGGAATAAGATGGTGGTCACACCTGACTGATACATTTGGGATGGTTTTAAGCTTTAACCCACCAGCAAAATGATATTAACCAACAAATAGGGAGATAAGCCCGCACACACACAGATATATATATATATATACAGTATATATATATATGGGTATGGGTCAAAATTAGGTACCCCAATAATTGGATGGTTAATACTACACTAGACTAACATCTGTGGTCCCCTAGGTCTTCTATTTTGACCCACATCCAATGGGACATGACCTGGCAATGACGATTGGTTGATGGATAGCGAGACTAGGTATGGGATTATTTTCCAGATTATTCATATGAACGTCGTATAGCATGCTATGGCAACAGCAGAGATTTTGGTTTTAAAACATACGGATCCAAAATGTCAATATATACTGGTTAGATGTTTGAAGCATGACTTTGGGGTCAAGATAAGTCAAGTGTTGTGCATTCCATGTGTATCTCTTGGGTTTTTACGCGCCCCCAAATCGACATGTAACATTAGTGTGAGAATCACATGCAGCAGCTGCGAAAGTTGCAGAAGTTCGGACTCTGGTAGAGCAGAGGACCTTCCAAATTCTGTGAAAAACAATTCGGTTGCTTAGTTGCTTCTGTTGGATCGTGTTTGCTGGATATCCAAATCTATCAAATGGATACATTGACACAGCTGCCGTGGTGTCGGAGAGGCTTGTTTATCTTGGTTGAGGCTGGTGGGACTACTTCAGGCTGAAGGTGGACTTGCCCGACACCGCCGAATCTTGGGTTCACCCTATGTGTCGCCATTACAGTAATGGATCTAGCGCCAGAAAATGTGAAAGGGCCGGTAATGGTAGCAAAAAAACCCTTGATCTACAAAAAAAAATTGCCCGGAGCAACCTGTCTGATGCCACAAACGCACAAGGAATTGCAGGATGAGGAGGATGCGGAGTACGTCAGTGAATACTACCGCTTGATGATGGAGGGCAAGGTGTTTTGTCTTAAAACTAGGCTGTTGCTGGTGGCATAAGGGGCACTGGATGCATCCTGTAGAGATCTGTAGAGTGGTGGATAGTCATGGGATACTCTTGAAATGTTGGGGTCCCATGGGTAGATTGGGGTCAGCAATCTAACTGCGGCCGGTGGGACCTCATCGTGGTGGAAGAGCACCCCGAAAGTTCAGTGGCCAAACAGATATAATGAGAAGCAAGGTTTGATTATAGTAGTCATTTGGAGGTTTCCTAAAATGGACGTACCCGAATAGCTGGATGGTTTCTAAGGGAAAGTCCTACTGATATGGATGATTTGGGGCTACCCCTATTTTAAAACCTATTTGACTGTATGATTGATTGTGTGGGTCACATGTCTGCTTGACACTGCGATGGCCATTCCGAGGTTCCATTTGCTGTTCCGGGTCCTGCAGGCTATTGGCTCCCTGGACTTGCAGCATTTGTTTTTTTGGGCTTTGTTTTCCAAACCCGAACACATGGAAATCTTGAAGGAATGAAGAAGAACACTTAGATACAGCATTGCCAATGACAAAGTCCACTGCACAAAAAGAATGCGATCATTGGAGCATCTGATGGTCCCATTTTGAGAAAATCAAACATGTATTTTGGATGTATGTTTGATGCCCAGATATGGATGATTTTCCTATTAAAGCATATTAAAGTTGGAACTAGTTAGAACCCAATTTATGTAGGTTTTCACTCTAGCCATGTGCCCCTACTGGATCTCTACCAAGGTACACCGGTGCCATTATTCAGTGGAAAGGCAAGGAGCCCTTCGCAGGTGATCAGGTGCAGACCTTACTGGAGAACGGTGCCTAGGCCTGGTCGGATAGTCCCGGGGAATGTCCATTGGGTCCATTGCCCAATAGTTTCCCCAGGGTTTTGATAGGAAAATCAATTATAAATGGGTAAATCAACTATAAATGGCCATTTTCAATAGCTATATTAAATTACCGGAGGGTATATATATATATTTATACATCTGGTTGGTGGTTTGGAACATTTGGATTATGTTCCATGCATAGGGAATAAAACCGACTAATATTGTTCAGAGGGATTGACACCACCAACCAGAATTAAGATCATCCAAACATATCCAAAATGGACATTGCCAAGGTATATATGTTCTTAGAGGCTAGGGCCTGCTATGGACATGGGTGTTGGTCAATCATTTGATGTCATAGGTACCGAAGAAGCACACGACATTGAAAACTTGCAAGACTTTGATTGCCAACATGCAATGAGGATGGCTGACTTTGCGGTGATATATGTGTACTATGTAGAACTATATACTGTATATATATATATATATGTATATATATGTATATAGAAATACATGGAATATCACATGGACATATCCAAACATCGGGGATGCCCCAAAGCGGCAAATTCTTGGAACCATGGCGAATTGCAGCCTGGGTGTTTCAGAAAGCCAAGGGCCACACAGACCGAGGTCGTTGGTCCAAGCAGTTCTTGAGCAACCTAGCCTTCTATCGTGAGGCACCCTACACTTGACCATGCTTCCAAGAAACTTCGGAGCCATCTCCCCCATAAAAAGTGGTCAGTTGCCCGCTCATTGCCTAGGATTGCTGATGATCAGCCCTTCAAATCCTTGGCTAACTAGGATTTCTGGTGATTGAAGTGATATAAAAATATTAAATAAACATACTACATATATATATATATGTATATATATATACGGTGTATATAAATATATATATATACTATAAACTATATTTACAGTATCCATATTTATCCGTATTTAGACAAACAAACATTGTAACATAACTTGGCGCCACCGAGCTGTCGACATCTGTCGATGGCGCCAGGGATTGAAGCCTTGGCAGCGAGGCCTGGAGATTGGCATGGCTCATGGCTATTTCTTGCGCCTTGGCAGCCGCTTCTTTGGAGGAAAAGTATATGGAAACTACGGTGGATGGGCCAGCGAAATCCTGTTGATAGATGGTTTATCCGATTATTTATAGAAATAATCGGGTTTCAACCATCCAAGGTGATGCAGCATTTCTTCCATCCACAGTAGTATATAAAAAAATGAGTGTTGGCTGTTGGCCAAGTGTTGGTTCTGTTGATCGAAATTCCTGGGATGGTGCTGTGGTTTTGGGTTTTATTGGAATTCAGAAAAATCACTTTTGGCTGCATTTTAGTTAGACATATATGTTGCTTGGAACTTAGCATGCAACTTTTGGGGATATCGCAGGTTGACCTATTGTCGATGCCCATATGACATATGGCATTTCTTGAAAGACAAAGTGCAGGGTAATCAGGTGCCCCAGGCCCCAGGTTGCTTGTTTGACGAATTTTGCACATGTGGGATTTGGAAATCAAAGAATGAGTGGCAGACAATCATTTGGCGCCAAAGGATGGCAAGTGCGTCACATCCTTCCAGAGCTTGTTTCCAGAGGAAGTGGCTTCCCCCGCTGGCCACCAACGGGTACCCAAAAAGTTCAAGATTTCATGGTGATAGACTGATAGAATCATAATATATCATAATTTTCCCCCATGAAATTCATGTTTGTTTGTTTTTCAGACGCACCCTACCCATCACGAAGAAAAGCCAGGATTGGACCCTTCACATCCCTGGGTCCTTTGAGAAACACTCCTGAAGCTGCCACTGTGGGCTTACTATGCGGCTGTGCCATTGTGGGCATCGTGCCTTGCCAGCGAAATGAAGGGTTTGGCCTCGGCAAGCATTAATTGTGTTACGTCTCGGCAATAAAACAAGGCTGGCTGGGCAATCCCATGAAATCCCCTCTATATATACAAAATAATTGTAATATATATAATTATAATATATATATATAATATGTGTGTATAATGTCGGATCTTGATTAGTGTAGGGCCCCCCCAAAGAATTTTAGGGGTCTCTTTCATGTGATTTGTTTGAGGAACATTGTCTGAATAATATTTGATCAATTGATTTCAAATTACGTTCAATTGATTTTCAATTGATTCCAACTTACTTTCAATTGATTATGTAATATTATGTATATATATATATATATGCTATATATATATATATACACGTATATAATATACCGTATATATATATGGAAGCATCTATAAATGGTGGATTTTCCATTGCCATGTTTGAAAGTATTTTGTGTTCAATGCATACCAACCTCTGAACACCCCAACAAGAATCCAACTTCAACGAGATTCAAAGAGGTCCAGCGACCAAGAGTTGCGCATTGTCGCTGATGTTGACCACCTACAAGGTGGATTTCCCCAGTTGTAAGATGTGAAAAACTGGTTTACAAACCATAGTATGGTAACATATAAATATATATATATATGTGTGTATTATGATGATATATGAATCTACGGTGAACCCTATAGTTATTGATAGTTATTGCATGTTTGAAGCAAGCCAACTATGGAGCACCTCGTAACGTACTTTAGCATCTCCACTCTTCAGTCCTTCCAGGTCTCCGTGGGGGGATTGATCTTTGGCAGCACCATCAAGCCCACGCGCTTCGATAAGCCGGGCGACAAGCCGGCAGCGGGCTTCATTGAGATGATCAACTGGCACGCCATTGGTGGCATCTCGACGGATCGCAGGGCGGTGAACAGTTGCTGATGGTTTTGGGCAAAGAATTATTGAAAGCCCCGCGTGAATTTGTTCTATGCTTGAAAGACATCAAACAAACCATCTCCTTTGGACTCCTTTGGAAATACCGTGAGAACCTATGTTTTAAACTATGCGGCTGATTGTGTCGCGCCTCCACGACTGAGTCATGGAGCTGGATGTAACAGTTTTGCAGGTCCCTCATAGAAACCCGGGTCGCCAGAGTTAATGCTTCAGCACCAGCAATACATCCCATACATGGATGCCGGATGATGCCTGAAAGTCCTAAGGTCGAGAAATATTGTGCAAAACATGTAGTTGAGTGACAAGTTTCCAAGTTTCTACACATCCCTTTGGACCCAGCTGGATCCAGCTGGTTAAGGCCTGGGCGGCGCTGGCTTCGCCCATGCTCTCATCACCATCTTCGGATCCTGAAGCGGCTGAGGGAACACACGGAACACACGCGTGGTCGTGAGGGATCCACGTGTGTCATGCTTGGGCCATGTTTTTGAAGCAAGATTGGATGCTGTACACTTGAAGTTTGTATGCGTCAAGACCTCCTTTCTTGAACTTTTCCCTGGCAATCTGGAAGCAGAGAAGATGCAAAGGTTCATGACAGCCAAATTTGCTGATGTTGGAGGTGTTGATGATCAGTTCGAATTCTAGTCAGGAGCCAATCTTGAATGCAGGGGGACTGCTGAACGCTATCCCCCTCTCATGTTCTGAAGAAAAGAGGTGAACGCCCGGGCCCGGTCCTTGCGGAAATTCGTTGTCGGATCCAGGGTTCAGAGGATATGATGGTCCCAGTGGAATGCTTAATGATTGCCATCTCCATGCAGCTCTTCTGCGCAGGAAAACATGTTTTTTTTCCAACAACGAAGTACTTTGCATGGAAAATGACAGAAACACTTGTGAATGGCGGCTGCGTTTTTTCTTTCCGGTGACTGTCCTCAGGCCATTTGTGAATCTCACCGATGCACTGGTGGTTCGTCTGGGCACCCAGCTGGGAAGATGAACCCCCAAACACCATCCAGCTGGGTGACAGCCCATCTTCACAGGGCCTCATGAACGGCTTACAAACCACCATCAAAATAAGGGCTTATCAATCGGCTATCATTGAGGGATGTCACCTTTTGGAGTCTGGTTCAATCCCCATGAGTTATAAAGATTGATATATTGGCCATTTAACTTAGCTATGGAACATCGGCATGTTTAATGGTAAATCATCTATAAATGGACCATGTTCATTCATTTTCCATAGCTATATTCAATTGTTTAGTGGTAAATCATCTATAAATGGTCCATTTTTTTAGCATGTCCAGCATGTCCAGCATGTCCAGCATGTCCAGCATGTCCAGCATGTCCAGCATGTCCAGCATGTCCAGCGGCTAAGGGCTTCACAACATCTCCAGCATCACTGGCGCCTTAGTGGCAGCTACTGGAGGAGTTCTGGGTGAGATGGTTTCACCTTGATTCTCATAGATGTATGACAAATTATATGGATTTATGGTGAACTGTTCAGATTTATGTGGCATGATTCGGAATGATGATGATTTAAGGATCCACATGCTGATAAGAACATACTTTCTGCAGGAAAATTATGGTGAACTATGTTGATGATGTTGATCAATTGACTTTTCTATTCGACAAAAAAACATCCTCCAAGCATAGGGAAATGTGGCTGATACCCAGCTATTAAATGCAGCTATTACCATCAGGTCTTTGGTCCTGTGTCCTGTGATATCAATTGAGCTGGTTCATGTTGTTTTTTTTGTGTGTAGGGATTATTGTACGACCTAGTTAGGGATTATTATAACTATAGTAGGGAAACATAGCAACCAACCAGTAAAATGAAGTGGAACAATGTGGAACATAGAATATTTTGAAGGACTCAATTGGTTCTTTGAACTCAAGCAACCCGACCTCCAGCTCTGCGGAGCGACATTTCCATATTCCTCGATGGCGACGGCTGATCGTTGTGAGTTCGTTCCATTTACGCTCTAGTATATTTCAATCATGTTTCAATCTATAGCTATGGAACATCAGCACATTTTAAGAGGTAACATAACATTTACTGTAAGAGAATCGAAGTTTACTGGGCCAGTGCCACTGTGCATTTGCGCATTTGCCCGCCTTAGGTGGCAAAGTTCATCTCCATGGCCGGCTCTTTGCTGAATGGCTCCATGTTCTTGTGCCCTACAAATGTCCATGGCCCAGTCCGAGATGGAGAGAGGACAGGGATGGACATGGACAGGGAGTCTTTCCCCCAAAATGAGAAGGCTGCCATAGGCTGCCTGGCGGAATCACACATTGCTAGTTGGAATGTGTATTTCAAGTAAGTGCACGCAACATCACGCAACAACAATGCTGGCGGTTTCGTGAAGCCAAGAAAGAACTTTGGAAGGTCTAACTCTTCCTGGCTATGAAGGTTGGTCCTAACATGTCCAAACTGTTCCTGAATACGAAGGTTGGTCCCAACTTTTCCTAACTACGAAGCTTTTTTTAACTAAAGGGCAAAACCATTCGGAATGGTAAGATAATGTAAGAGATGAGATGAGATAAACATGAAGCACCACTGGTTTCCAGCGTCCAGGACGATCGGGCACATTTGTTGCTTGGCAGGTGATCTGAGAAACTCGAAGCATCCCCAAGATGCGAGTGGCGCAGATTTTGGTGCCACCAGGAAGTCCATCCAGTTTTACCAAGCACATTGAGTATTCTTTAGAAATTTACCATGAAACTGTGATCCCAGCGACTCCAATTGTTGTGGAACAGGCCAGTTGAGCACCCCCACCTTGGCCCTGTTGCAGTCCAGCTGGATCCAGAAGACGAGCATAACATCCGCACCAGGTCGAATGCCCCTGTTGATGGACGTGAAGTTCCGCTGGAAAGTTGGCAGCCGGAACTGAAAGCAGGCATTCTTTTTGGCAGGATGCATGATGCATACGCAATTCAATAATTATACACACAATCGATATTAATCTTATGATCAATGATTAAATATGATTTAAATATGATTACAGTAAATTATTCAATGATGTTGATATATTGATTATATACCTAGAGAGTTGTCGTGGTTTGACATGTTCACGGCCCTTTTTTGCGTTCGTTTTCACGGCCGTTGATCCACTACACCTCCAAGATCCTCCAAGGTATAGCGAAAGCATGCGAGATCTTCAACGCTTGTTGGACGATGGCATTTGGACACCCGATGTGTCACTGAGCTCGGTATGGGGGACATGATGGACATGGAATATCAACTAAGCCAACTGGTTGGTAGCACAAAAAAACTACTATTCAAGCGTGTGTTTTGGCGATCATTGTCGAGCCATTGCCGTTATTTGGACTGTTTTATGATCATTATCATGATTACTGGTTTGTTGTTGTTTGTTTGTTTGTTTGTTTGTTTGTTTTTCTTCGTGATGTCCAATTCCCTTGCAGATGTGATGATGGTTTCAGATTCTTCTCAAAGCACTTTGTATTCGCATTGTTCGGATGGGTTGACGGGACCAACAAGTCAACCACCCCATCAAAGCTTCTTCTCCAGGTAAGCCACCGACTAGACAGTACTGGGATCTTTTAGGACGGGTTAGCCACCAAAAGCTGCACGGTACAGAACTGGTTTGTTTGCTGTTCCAGCTGCACACATCGTCTGCATCATTTCAGCATATTTCACCATGGATGCCGCTATTCACAGGGGGGTACCAAAAACAAACACCCAACTGGATTCGCTCCGTTGCGGAGCCGCTTGACCCTGAGGCACTGGAGCGATGACGAGCTGTTGCCATTGTTTGAGGAACCACCTGATTCTTGGCCCGAGGACAATCATGGGAAGATTCCACTGTTCAAATCGATTCGTTTTTGGTGTCTTCAAACCTGGCAATGGAGAATTTCTCCACGCCTATGCACATGTTAGAGGTTTCCCAGTGCCAGGTTGCATGCTTCTTTGCGCGACCTTAAGTTGTTTTCATGCTACTGTAAAGCCATTTCTTCCACGAAGTAGAAACATCCCGAATGATAGGTTTACTGATTCTAGTACAAACCTGCACAACCT